ATTTAGCCGGCCTTCCCCAGGCCACTGGGATGTGAGGAGCTCTGAGCCGGGTCTCAAGGACATGGGGACAGCTCAGCAGCTGCTCTCTGCCGTCAAGGGGCACGTGACATGACTGAGGGCAGATATAATGCCAGGTAAGGAGGTGGCAGGTTACCAGAGAAAGACGCCATAATCAATAGCTGGCTGGAAAGTGGGAAACAGTGACAATAGCCACCATCCTGTGCCGGTGCCAGAGCAAGAAACCTGCAAAACCCGGACGTAACGCGAGGCTTGGATCAGTGGAGGCGTCCAGCTCATCCTTAAACTGAACCGCTCGGGGTGAAGATGTCAGCTCTTCCCCGCCTGAAACGCATTTCACGCAACACCAATTGAAATTCGGATGGGATTGGGGGGTTTTCTTTGGGAGGGGGAGGAGATTTGACACAATCATTCTATAATTTACCTGGAAAAAAAATGTACAAGATTGAGAATTGGCATTAAAGTTTTTATTTTATTTTTTAAAAAGATATGTTTTTTTAAATTGATTTCAGAGAGAGGAAAGGAAAGGGAGAGAGAGAGAGATAGAAACATCAATGATGAGAGAGTCATTGATCGAGCCTGCAACCCGGGCATGTGCCCTGACCAGGAATCGAACCCCGATTGCCTGGATCCTAGGTTGACGCTCAACCGCTGAGCCACTCTGGCCGGGCGGCAATAAAGTTTTTATAAAGCAGCCCGGCCGGCGTGGCCCAGTGCTGGGGCATTGACCTATAAACCAGGAGGTCACAGTTCAGTTCCAGGTCAGAACACATGCTAGGGTTGCGGATCAATCCCCAGTCGGGGGCGTGCAGGAGGCAGCCGATCAATGACTCTCATCATTGATGCTTCTCTCACTCTCCCTCTCCTTCCCTCTCTCTGAAATCAGTAAAAACATATTTAAAAAAAAATTTTTAATGAAGCATAGCAATGTGAGGGTCTTGTGTTGACAGGCATTAAAATATCTTCCAAAACTATAATAGTCACCCTATGTGACACTGTCATGGGAAGAGACAGGTGGATTCCTGGAGGAGAATAAGTCTGGACACAGACCCACATGAACATGGAGTTTATTTCCTGATAAAGACGCGTCTCAAATCAGAGGCTAGAAAGAGGCTTCCGACTGATGCCCTAGCCTCAGGCTTCATTTGGGGTGCACGGAGACGGGGCCTCTCTTCTCCCCCTGGATATATTTCTTCCACCAGGGGACTCTGCCTGCAAGCGATCGAGTACAAGCCATGAACATGAGCCTGGCCCCAAACGGTGTCCCCAGAGCTTTCCTATCCACCGCCTTGTCTGGTCTCCAAGGAGGCAGCACAAGGTCACATACATTTTTAAAAACGCTCCCTCCCTCCCTCCCGGTGATAAAGGCATTCAGACCGATCACAACGAATTAGAAAAAAAAAAAAAAAAAAAAAAGGAA